CATTTGATATGTTTGCTATGTTCCAATGTAAATACAATATGGGTTTATCAAATATGCAAATTCATTGCATCATGTTTTTATTGACATTTTATGCAACATCCCAACATGTGGGATTGGGGTTGTACAGACTTGTAAAGCTAAATAACAGTTTAAACTTGTCACTGTGCCTGTAGAAGAGGAAACAAGTGGATTAAACACAAGTTGAGGTAAAGGTGCCACAGGTTTGGACTGACCGGTTCACTGACTGTCCACTGCTTTACATACAACTGTTTAATTATTGAGCTATGTTTCACCTGTGTGTGTTTGTGTGAGCATGCACAGGTGTGTATTTTTCCCTCTTTTCATCTTCTTTCACTTTTTTAAAACCCTAATCATTTTTTTCTAAATAAAAATTTGATTTAATAATGTTCAGGGGATTCACTTTAGAAGTTTTTATTTTTCTGTGACAGAACACAGTCTTTTAGCTCCTTTCCACACAGGTGTGTAGGAAAATATATGTTGTTCAAAACTGTCTGTCTGAATAAACAGGAATATTCTGGATTTCTTCTTTAAAACTTTATTTTCAATCTTCTGACTCCAGTCAGGTTCACAGTACAGCACACAGGCCTCAGTAAGACCTTAGGCTGAACCAAAACACGGGAGCCCTGCTCTGAAGCAGAGACTTTTATGAATTGAGCTTATAATATACCATATTTATTCGAATATAATACATAAAATTTAATCCATAAAGTCATGCACAGAGTTGGAGGGTAGTACTATACTCGGATAAATATTTTTGCTGATGTATTTTAACTAAAATATCGGCTTCATTCTCAAAATCCCTGAGTCCGGAAATGAAACACCATTGTAAAAAGCGGTTGAAGCGAGCTTACGTCTAAAACTCCTTCGTGTCTCTGAGCGAGATATTAACAGATCCAAGCAGGCAACATGATGTGAAAAAAATAAGAAAAAGTAGTCCTGCAGCTCAGTAATGATAACAAACTAATAATATTAATGTGCGACTGGGACAACAACAAACACATGGTCGTCTGTAATGGCTGCCGTCTACCGGTGTTCGGTAAAAGTTGGTCTACTTGAAAAAAGTTTCCCCACCAGAGACAAGAAACCAGAGACGAGACACAGAGCATGAGATTGTTGTTGAGTGGGATTCTGATGCCTTTATTACAGAGGAGGAATACAGTAACTTTTAATGATACTGATGATGGTGAGCCTGATTTTAAAGGCTTTGATTCAGCTTCATCCACACTTGTTAGAGCCACACAGCTCTGTCTGTTTGTTAGATCACACCAGTTAACAAATGAGCATTTGATTGTTTTTCTTTTATACATTTGTTGTTGTGTACCTTTTAGTACATAAGTTAAAAAAACTGATACAACAGTCATATGATTATTTTATTGATATGTATAAAGACTGCAAAGGCTGAAAAATCCTGAAGTCCCTATGGCATTAGAGATAATATGAGGATTAAATTTTTATGCTTTTTAAGATGAAAAATAGGAGTGGTCGTATTATACATGAGATCATATTATAAATGAGATCATATTATACATGAGATCGTATTATACATGAGATCGTATTATACATGAGATCCTATTATAAATGAGATCCAATTATACATGAAATCCTATTATAAATGAGATCTTATTATACATGAGATCATATTATACATGAGATCATATTATACATCCATCCATCCATTTTCTTCCACCTATCCGGGGTCGGGTCG